TATTGTCACAGATAAACCGCATGCCTACGGCGACTAGCTAACCGAGCTAACTGAACTCTTTTCGCAGCCTGCACTACCTCTGGCCACCACTAGAGGGAGACTCCTCTCCAATCTAGCTGTCTGACCACACACAGGCAGATATGAATCGTATATACAATCTGGTGCACTCTAAGGGTTGGGGAGCAGTCTAGTAATTGGCACACCCTTTTAGGATTTCTCCAGCTATCCTGCAAGCTAGAACCCCAGTGTTAATCACTCTTCCACTGTCCACACACCCCCCACAGCAGACACACAACAAACGGTAGCTTGCCACTACCCAACAGTTTGTCCGCAGACTGGTCTGCTGGGCCACCACACACACACACACAGATCTCCGTCTGGCAGATCTGCTACTTTACAATCTGCATGCAATATACCAACACACAATGCAATTGCATACAGATTGGCAATGAACGTAGACCGAGCACATAGACACTACAATACAACAATCTCTCTGGAGATATGAGCCTGAGCTTAGTACACAGAAGTCACTTAATAGTTTTATGATTTAATATCCCAAAAGCGGGCAGTGCATAAAATATGTACAAAGAAAAAACATTTATAGAAAATACAAAAAGACACACAAATGCCTATTCAATATGAAATAAAAAAGGGAATAAAAAGAGAAATAAAACTTTTACTAAGATTTATCCTGCGACTGGAGTAAGTCAAAGAAAGTCCACGATTCACCAGTCATATGGAACCGGCTCCGTACAAATCACCCCATCCATATCTCAGGGTCCTCAATTTATCGAATTATGGATGTGGGCTGGAATTTAGCCCTTGGCCAATCAACCCTGGGGGGTGTTCCTGTACCAACCCAAAGGACGTTCTGTGTTCTGACGTGTCCAATCTTGAATGGGCCAGAAACGGTTCTGATCACCAGGTCAGGGATAGAATTTCCGATGCCAGTGCATCAGTCCGATCGCGACAGTACCAATCACTGTTCAGCTGTCGTAATCAGGCACCATATAACTGTTTTGTGCATTTCTCTGGGATCCTATAGAGGCTACAAATACACGTTTACATGAAGATGTAGCCTAAAATGTGTCCAATCAGACAGAATTATTTTCATCTCTCCGCAACTAATATTTTAGCTTTTATGAGAGATTAAATATATTCCTCTGATCTGTGGATATAAGTCAGAGCTGGCAGATATTTCAGAGCCTTCTCCTGGTACCCTGTGGTTTCTTGAAGCTGAAATGGCTACAGCTCTTCTTTTAGATTTCAAGAAGGCTGCAAACTCTGGCTACATAGGTGACAACGTTTTCTTGGCATCTAGGTGTCACCTCTAGAAGTTTGCTCTATCCTCTCAGATGCTAATTGATGAACATATGTCTCTGACTGAATACTGAACAGTTATCTTTAATAACATGGAATGAAAATAGATCTACAATTACATATTTCTACTGATCATATCACATCTCAACTACTCGACTCTTACCTTTATGTTACATCTCCCCCCTTCTAGATGATGCATAGCTGAGCCTAAACGGGTCAGCTAACGTGTCTACATGGAAGGTTCCACCTGACAGGGCAAACCATCAGCATTTCTATGATTGCTTCCTTTCTTGTGCTAAATGGTGAACTTGTACTGTTGCAGAACTAGGCTCCAGTGCAACAATTTCCCATAACTCTGTGCAACCAGCTAAGGGGGTTGTGGTCAGTGATCACTGTGAATTCACGACCATAGAGATAGTACTGCAGCTTTTGTAAAGCCCAAACAATTGCCAAGCACTCCTTCTCTGTGGTGGCATAGGCCACCTCCCTGGGCAGCAGCTTCCGGCTGAGTTACAGAACAGGGTGCTCCTCCCTACCTGGGTTCACCTGGCTCAGCACAGCGCTTAGGCCATAGGCCGAGGCATTGGTCTGGACCACAAACCTGCGTTGGAAGTCTGGGGCCTGCAGCACAGGAGCACAGGCCAGAGTATGTTTAAGAGCTGCAAATGCTTGTTCACAGTTTGCTGTCCAGCGAACCTGTTTTGGTAGCTTTTTCTTGGTTACGTCCGTCAAGGGTTTGGCCAGAGCACTGTAGTTAGGAACAAACTTCCGATAGTACCCTGCCATCCCCAGGAAGGACATAACCTGCTTCTTGGTTTGGGGAGTGGGCCAGAAGATGATGTCATCTAGTTTACCCCCGGTTTCAGGCTAAACCATGTCTCCCCCCACTACATGTCCCAGGTCGGCTACTGTGTTCCCCTCCAAAATTTGTGTTAGGTGTGCTAAATGTTCCTCCCAGGTTGCACTAAACACTGCAATGTCGCTTAGATAGGCCACAGCACAGTGTTCCTCCCCTTTCAGCAGACTGTCCATGACCCTTTGGAAGGTGGCTGGGGCATTCTTCATCCCAAAAGGCGAAATGTTGAATTTAAAGAGGCCAAAGGGGGGTGATAAAGGCAGATCTCTCCCGAGCCTCAGTGGTCAGAGGCATCTGCCAGTATTCTCGACTTAGGTCCATGATTGTCAGCTAGCGGGGGCTGGCCAGCTTGTCCAACAATTCATTGACCCTGGGCATTGGGTATGTATCAAAAACTGTAATTGCATTCAGTCTCCGATAGTCGGTGCAAAACCTTGTGGTCTGGTCTCATTTGGGGACCAGCACTACAGGGGATGCCCATGCACTCTGGGACTTCCGTATCACCCCTAGTGCTAGCATTTCATCGATCTCCCTTTTAATGTCTACTTGAACCTCAAGGGAGACCCTATATGTTGTCTGTCTAATAGGCTTGTGGCTCCCTGTGTCCACATGGTGGACAGCTAGGTTGGTTAGGCCAGGCCGAGAGGTGAAGGTATCCTGATGAGGCTCCATCACCCCAGACAGCCCAGTTTGTTGCCCAGCAGTCAGTTGGGGGTTGTTCTGCAACTCCCCAAGGGAGTCTGACTCCTTGGTGGCAGCCAGGAGATTCACTAGTGGCTCGGCCTTACTCTCTGGTAACAGACTACAGACTGGGATAGCACAGGCTGATCTGTCATGGTGCGCCTTCATCATGTTCACACGGTACACTTTGAGCCGCTTACCATGGTCATCAAGGTATACCACATAGGTCACATTGCCCCTTTTCTCATGTACAGTATAAGGTCCCTTCCAGGCAGCTTGCAGCTTGCTCTGCCACATGGGGACCAAAACCCAACCCTTTTGGCCTACCTCATACACCCTCTCCCGGGCAGTCTGGTCATACCATTGTTTCTGGGTGGCTTGGGCCTGCATAAGATTTTCACGCACCAAGCCCATCAGAGCGTCCAGTTTCTCCTGTAGTTTTAGTACATAGTCTACCACCGAGATGTCTGGACCAACATTTTGCCCCTCCCAGGCCTCTCAAATGAGATTGAGGGGCCCTCGGATCCTTCTTCCATATAGAAGCTCAAAGGGGGAGAATCCTGTCGATGCCTGGGGCACCTCATGATAGGCGAAGAGCAGATGGGTTAGATACCGTTCCCAGTCCCGTCCCTGAGATTCCACAAGCACTTTAAGCATCTGCTTTAAAGTGCCATTGAATTGCTCACACAGTCCATTTGTCTGCGGATGGTAGGGACTGGCTATGATATGCTCCACCTGCATCTTCTGACACGGACATTCCATCAAGCGAAACATGAACTGCGTGCCGTGATCTGTTAAACCAACTCGGCTAATGATGCTCAGCAGTGCATCTGCAATCCTGTCTGCCCAAGTGGAGCTCAGGGCTATTGCCTCTGGGTACTGGGTAGCATAGTCTACTACAGTAAGTATGTAACGTTTCCCTGAACTGCTGGGTATGGCTAAAGGCCCTATAATGTCTACTGCCACCCTCTGGTAGGGCTCCTCAATAATGGGCAAAGGCTTCATAGGGCCTTTGCTTGTGTCTCCTGCCTTGCCAACACGCTGCCACGCGACACAGGGTCGGCAATAATTTGTAACATCGGTGCCCATGTGTGGCCAGCAGAAACTGTGTGCAAGACTGGCCTTAGTTTTTTGTATCCCCAAGTGCCCGGAGAGAGGAATCTCGTGAGCAATTCGCAACAACTGCTCCCGGTACTTGTGGGGTACAACCAACTGCCGCTCTGTCATGCTTTCATCAGATGGCTTAGAGGGGATGGCCTCTCTGTATAGCCTGCCCTGTTCCCAGTATATGGGTGCTCTGTCATCCCCTCCTAACAGTCTCTCAGCCAGGCCCCTGAGTTCCTTCATGCTGCTGTCAGTTTTAACAGCCTCAGAGAATTCTGAGCTATCTGCCACAGGTGCCAGGGAGACGATAGTCTGAGGAGATCTTAGGCCCTCTAGGCCAGGTTCACATGGGTCCGATCCCATTGGTTCAATCCTTTCCACAGACAGTTTCTCTGTAGCAGTGGGCAGTGGCCCATCTGGGGTAGACTGGTGGGCACTGCGAGTCACTACTGCAGCAGAGGGAAGGTCTGCATTGCACAGATCATGACATTTTAGTTCTTGGGCCCCCTTGTCCAGGGAATACCCTCAGGCAACTGGATGAAGAGGAGGATTCATCCAGGGTCTGAGGTGGTACACCAAAGAGCTTTGGATGCTCTTAGAGGAGAGACTATTTTTGTCCACATTTTTTGTACATAGTTGCTCTAAGTGTCCCTCAAGTTTACAGTTTCCTTGAGCATCCTATATACCCCTTGGCCCCATCCAAGCTGTTAACCCCTTAATAAAACAATGAAACCAAGCTCAAGTACTGTTTACTGTCTTCAGTGTGCAAAGTGTGGAAGAAAATGCGTGTTGCCTAGCTGTGCAGAGCTTTCGGGAGACCCAAAACTCAGCAACTCCTAAGGGGGTAGTGCTATAGGTACATCAAAATGCCTGACTGGAAAACTCCCAGGATGTTGCTAAGGACATTGCTAAGAAAGGCTTAGCTGTTACTGTTCACCTTCACCATCACAGGAGTGAGCTCTTTCTTTGATTCAAACCCCTTCACACACACTTTCTCTCTCCTTATGCATTTGAGAGCTCAATCCTGTGATGGTGAAGGTGAACAGTAACAGCTGGGCCTTCCAGTCAGGTTTCATGAGGTATGTAAGTGGACCACGCCATTAGCAAGGATATTGTTTAACTTTAGTCAAAGCTACAGTTTTTTTTTTAATCTACAGACACCAGGGGCGGACTGACCATTTAGAAACTCGGGCACTGCCCGGGGGCCCGGGGTCAGTAGGGGGCCCCATGAGATGCCCTTGGTACCTTTTTCATAGGCTTTTTTGAGTTTGGGCAAGGACACAGGGGCCCCATGATCCCCTATTGCCCGGGACCCCATGAGTTGTCAGTCCGCCCCTGACAGACACCCCTTAACTGCATAAGCAATTTTTGTTAAGGGGGAACTAACCCTTTAAGGCAGGCCATACATAATTCTTTTTTTTTTCATTCAACCAGCAGGTTGAATGAAAAAAAAAAGAACCAATTACCCTATCAACACATTGGATGTGGATGAGGAAATCACACCCACTGAGCTATTGTATCAGTGTTGTGGGCTATAGCTGGTGGCACTGATAGTTCAGGAAAAACTCAACATGCTGGTTGTACACAAGTTGATCAATAGATCGACTTTTAAACAACCTGCTAGCCCACACATGGATTGAAATACGGCCTTTCCCTCTGAACAGGCTAAATTTCAATCCAAGTATGGGAAGCATAAGAGGTGGCAGGCTGCTGCAGATCACCTTTCAGAAGGCGGTAGAAACTGCCAACCATGTGAAAGAGGCCTTACAGTGCTTCTAATTCTTCCTCACTGTATTCAGACCAAAATGTGAAAGTGAAACTAAACCCCCCTATCCTTTACAACCATAAAAGCTGCCATCTGAGCCTGTGTTGGATCTGCAGTTGCCATGGTGCTGCACATGTGATCAGTTATAACACCAGCCATTTGATGGCTTGACAATTCAGTTGTGAGCACCAGCAACGGTGACGGTTATCATTCGTGGGTATACCTTGAATGTAACTGTTTTGGGCAGCAATTGATGGGTTTCATCCCCTTTAACCTCCCTGGCGGTATTCCCGAGTGTAGCTCGGGGTAAAGTTTCAGCACCACAAGCAGTAACCCCGAGCTACACTCGGGAATACACTGCAGCGTTGCTCTGGGATCCCTCCTGCACTTACCTTGTCCTTCACTCCCGCGATGTCCCCCTGCAGTGTCCCCAGCCATGTCTTCCGGTCGATGCCGGCATCTGTCTTCCGGGTTCCGTTCCCTGCAACGTCAGGACGTACAGGGGACGGAACTGGTAGAAAATTTTAAAATGTAAAAAAGTAACATTCACTTAATACATTAAAATCACATAGTAAAACATTACTGTATCAAAGCATTTCACATACATTTTGTCCTGAGTGCTTTGTCCTGTGCCCTGCCTGCATATTTACTGTTCTTTCTGCCTGGAAACTGAGAAACGTCCATGGTGTCCAAAAAACGTCCCTTTAGGTCAAAGCGGTTTTAGACCAGCTAGAGAACAGCGATAGTAAATCTTGCAGAATTGAGTGATAATGATTCGTGAGGAAATTCGTCATCAGACACTGAAAACAATTTTAAGACTTTGCTCAGTGATGTGCAAACTTGGCGCTATATTTCAAATTTCAGTGTGGTTTTGGTTTGATTAAATTATTGAAACTAAATGTATTATTATTTTATTATTTTTTATGATTATTTATTATATTATAATTTATGATTTCGTGTTTCATATTGTAACATACCCGGGATGTTTACTAGACTGTTGTTTGAACAGATTTCAGTGAGTTATTCCTAAAAATTACAGGCCTACAATAAAAAAACTACATATTTCCATGCAAAAAAATGTACCGCTTTGAGCACAGAAATAATGACATAATCAGACCGCTAGGGAGGCTACGTACTCGCGGGAGCTCTATACCTTTACTTTTCAATCTAATCTAATGACCCACCAAACTGCCACCATGTTTCTTCTGTTGCAGTAAATGGTGGCATCCATGCTACCCCTGTTGCTACTAAAATGGAATGTCTTTCATAATTTTCCTGACTAGTTACATATAGTTACATGGTTTGTCTGGCTGAAAAAAGACAAAAGTCCATCCAGTTCAACCATAAAAAAAAAAAGTTATAATCCTACACCCACAGCTGATCCAGAGGAAGGCAAAAAAAACCAGCAAAGCACGATCCAATTTGTTCCTGCAGGGAAAGAAAATCCTCCCTGATCCCCCGAGAGACAATCGGATATTCCCTGGATCAACTTTACCTATAAATGTTAGTACTCAGTTATGTTCTGTGTATCTAAGAAAGAATAGAGGACTTTGTTAAAGCAATTCACTGAGCTGGCCAGAACCAACTCTTGAGGGAGTCTATTCCACATTTTCACAGCTCTCACTGTGAAGAAACCTTTCTGTGTTTGGAGATTAAATTTCTTTTCCTCCAGACGTAAAGAGTGCCCCCTTGTCCTCTGTGATGACCTCAGGGTGAATAACTCTACCCCGAGTTCACTATATGAACCACTGATGTATTTGGCCGATGGCCTATCGTTCGACAAAACAAATACCTAACTTTACATGCTCTTACTGCTTAGTGAAATGAGTGCCAACATTTGTTTCCAACTTTATGAGTTAAAATCATCCCCATCCGTCTATCTAACTTCACTGTTGTTAAAAAAGTGGCCTCTTGGTCACAGTGATGTGCTTTCCCGTGGAAAACATCCAACACTCGCCATGGCAACCACCAGATCACATGAGCCGGCCTCACACACCAGAGCCCCATACAATGAAACGCAAAGTGCCTCCATTGTTCCGGAGAGGCTCTGTGAATCAATTAGAACAGGTCATGGGAAGCACAAAAAAAGAAAGAAGCGGAAAGCTTGCTCAGTGCTGAAGGGACACAAACAATCCTCATTAGCACGCTCTTATGTACCGGTTATATGCGCTTGCTGAAATAAAACTCTGATTATATTGCAGCTCAGCTGTATTGTTTTACACTCAGTAAACATTTTTTTTTTTTGCTGTCGGGGAATGCTGCTTTAACGCCTGTTTTGTTTGCTTTGTTAGCTGGCTTGGTGCCAGCTAACAAAGGGTTAATGCAGCCGGCGCATTTTTATTTTGCAAGGTCTACAAAAGCGCATTCCATTGCAGATAGAGCCGACTGATCTGAAAGTACAAAAATGTTTTCTAGTGGAGTCCGCTGAGCAAGGTCGTAGGATTGGAGCCAGCTTTTTTTTTTTTCTGTCATTGGACAAAATACTGAACGTTTACAAACACATACGCTGGAATTTTGACATCACAGTATAGACAACACATCTATAACTGCACATTGACACATCCAAAGTAATTATTATATTATATTTTATTATTATTATTGTAGCATCCTCTTAGTTTAGCTAGGGGGAGCTAGACCCTGATGGCTAGTGAGGAGCTGATTAGCAGCTCAGGTGAGATAGTCAGAGGGGTCAAATTCTGGTCAGGACTGAGAGACTGTGTAGGTCCAGCCCCTCTGGAATTTCCCCCTGCTCTGAGGCTTTCAGAAGAAGGTCTTGGAGGCAGTGGGTCGATCTGAGGAGTGGTTGGATGCACTTTTGAGGGACCTCAGCCAATCCCCAACAGGAGGCTTGGCAAGGGGCTGGACTCCCTTAAAAAGTGTTAGAGCCTGCTCAGTAAGGGGACGGGGGAGTCAGGTGGAAGAAGGAGAGAGGAGGATGTGAGGTGTAAGGCTGCCGGGAGGCCTAGTGGGATGGGGACTGCTTGTAAGCCTGGAGCTGAAATGGAAGAAAACTCAGGACTCAATGACCCCGTGAGAGAGAGCCACCTGTATTGCAGGGAAGCAGCAGCGTAGCTGATAGGCTTGGCAGCAGCAGCCATTCTACAAGCGGTACAGGAGAGGATCTGAGTGAGTACATCTGCACCCCCTGGGCAGATAGGGGAAGGAGCACTCTGTTGGGAAACCAGATTAGCCCCCTACTTGTGACTGTACACCTTACTTAAAGGAAAATGAGCCTGCTCAGGAAGAAAGTCTCCAGATTGCTGGGTGAAGAGGAGTTCATCTAAGGTCTGGGGTAGTACAACTGGAGCTGGTCTCTAGCACTTCAACAGAGACTGTGTCAGAGAAAAAAAGCTGCAAATAGTTCAGGAAGTTTGTCATCAGATTTAGTTGACCTTTGGCATCCTACCCTTACCCTATCCAAGTTCTAATCCCCTAAATAAAATAACAAAACAAATGCTCAGGGATTGATTTCTGTCTACAAATGAAAGCTCCCTTTAAGTACCATCTCTATGCTGATGACACACAAATCTATCTTTCTACCCCTCACCTCACTGCTTCAGTCTCCTCTCGCATTACTAACCTACTAGGCCAGCGTTTTTCAACCACCGTGCCGCGGCACACTAGTGTGCCGTGAGATATTGTCTGGTGTGCCGTGGGAAAAATTGCAATTTCATCCGTAACATGTGGCCTCGGCTCACAAATAGACCAATCATTAGAACAGCAATGGGCAAACTACGGCCCGCGGGCCGTATACGACCCGGCGGACCTTTTAATCCGGCCCGCGGAGCGTGATACTGTCAGGATGATCTGTCCCCCTCGACGTATCTGCCCATGTGCCGGAGATCGCCGATCGGCTGCTAATGCCTGAAACTGGCACATGCGCAGATACGTCGAGGGGGGGACAGATCCTCATAGGAGACAGATTTTCATGCTACACCGGAACGGCGAGAGGAACGCGCGGAGCAAAGGTAAGTGAATTGACACAGGGGGGGCTTGGGGACTTAATATGGGGGATGAATTAATATGGGGGATGAATTACTATGGGGGATGAATTACTATGGGGGATGAATTACTATATGGGGGATGAATTACTATGGGGGATGAATTACTATAGGGGGGATGAATTACTATGGGGGATGAATTACTATATGGGGGATGAATTACTATGGGGGATGAATTACTATATGGGGGATTAATTACTATAGGGGGGGATGAATTACTATGGGGGATGAATTACTATATGGGGGATGAATTACTATATGGGGGATGAATTACTATAGGGGGGATGAATTACTATATGGGGGGTGAATTACTATGG